CCTACTCACTGGCCCTCCCTGGTGGTGCAGTGGATTAAAGCTCAGCACTGCAAGCTAGCCACAGCTGCTTCAGTGCCAATTCGATCCCCAACCCTGGAGGTGATCCACATGGCACAGCAGACCTCTCCTGTTGCTCCCCTCATTAGTGTACATTGTCAATCTGCCTGTTCTGCTCCCCACTCTGTCTCTGGAAAATCCTCTCACTGCCCCTCCACCTCTGGCCTGTACCCCAGTTCTGTATGCATAAATAAATAAAAACCTTTAAACAAACAAACAAACAAAAAGTATCCTACTCACTAAGGCTGATCTTGCAGTAGTGCAAGTCCCACCCACCAACAAAGAACAACCTTAACCCCAATCTACTACTAGCCCTTGAGGAGAATATCCAGCCATTTGGGTCAAGTTGAAATGTTGAACCATTCTATTTGGATAAGATGAGACAATGACTGATCTTCGCAGGAACTGACATACATACCAGTTCAAGTTATGTTTAATTTCTAATGTTCACAGTCCTTCAAACAGCATCATTCTCTGAGGACATAGACCACAGAATGTTAATCAAAAAATATGTTTCTTATAGTTTAACTTAATTCATAAATTCTGTAGCAGGAAGCTGATGAGCAGAAAGAACATTGGAACAGTGATTTGATAACACAATTAAACTCTTAATTTTGGGATTGTATCCTGTTCTAGGAATGTCATCTTCTCAGGTGTAATATATACTCATAATCATAGCTACTATATGCCATTTGTTCCTAGTCGGTATTATTTATTGATATGGGAACAAGAAAATCATACGTATTTGTGATCTACAAGCATTTAAAGTAGAATTTGTACTTTATTTTCTTACATCTTTAGGTTCTCTATACTAGAAGTTCTGGGACATGGCTTTCACCAGAAAATGTAGTGATACTTCCATTAATTTCAAGCTATAATCACCAGTCCATCACCTTCCATATTTCTTTGTAGAATATTGAAAGCAAGAAGAGGTATCACTAGCTTGTAAATATTAATTTGTCTAATTATTAGGAAAAGAGGAAGCACTGCTATTATGTAACAGTTAAATAGAGCCTAGAAGATAGAAAAATGTGATCCAAAGTGAAATATAGAATTAAATTATTCTGAAAAGCAGAAAAAGTGGGAGAAGTATAAATAAATACAAAGGGCCCTTCCTGGTGGTGCAGCGGGTAAACACAGCCCTAAGAAGCTAAAGCCACTTAAGTACAAGCTCGATCCCCAGCCCAGGACATGACCCGCCCGCTGCTCCCCTTAGCAGTGTTCTTCATCCATCTGCCTGTTCTGCTCCCCACTCTGTCTCTGGTAAATCCTCTCACCACCCCCTGCACCTCTGGCCTGTACCCCAGTTCTGTATACATTATTAAATAAATCTTTAAAAATAAATAAATACAAAGCAGCTGGCAATTAAGGAAATTCAGTCCTAACATATCAATAACCCCATAAAATGCAAATTATTAATTTCACTATTATATTGATTAATACAGATATATTTCACTGATACAGATATAGATATATAGATGTATGAGTAGATCTATCCATCCTCCGTAACAGCAGGGAATTGGTCCTTGTGAGAGTCAAAAGCCACAAATGTTCAAGTCCTTTACTAAAATGGCATATTTACTTGTAACATACATATATCCTCCTGTTGCTTTAAGTCATCTGTAGACTACATATAATATCCAGTGCAATATAAATTCTGTTTCCACAGTTATTGTTTTATATTAACAAAGGAACAATGAAAGAAAAAGCAGTATGTACATGTTTCAGTACAGATGTAACCATTACAGGCCTAAAAATACTATCAGTTTAAATTCATGGTTAGTTGAATCTGTGAATATGACACCCACAATGCCAAAGGCCCACAATGCATATGGCAAGCCCTAAAAAATACCATAATATTTTTAGTGTGCTATTATTTATTGCATAATTACTTATATATGTCAACATATTTGATAATCTATTTGTTTTTGTTCTTTATTCTTCTCTTCACTTTAGTGTAGGGGAATAAATAAGCCCTCCAGGATTATTTTTTTTTTTTACCTAAAGAACTGTTAATATGTAGTTCAAGTTCATAGGCAATAGAATTTATAATTTTTCTTTTTCTGATATATCTTATTTTCACATTCATTTTTAAATATGCTAAGCATGAGCTGTCAATAATCAATAAAAGATATTACATCAAAAGACAGAATTGCTGTAACCTTATGCAGACTTGAAAGTTGTTATTTTGCCTTTCAGCATGTTAATAATATAATTATTATATAATTATCATTCCATTATCCTCTTGCCCCCATATCATTGCTGTTATTGAAAAAGCTGTTAGTCCCTTTCTAATCAATATCTGCTTCTCCACCACAAATTTTTCTGTATTTACTCTCTATCTTTTATTTTTATCTACCTCAGATTGATGTGTTTAGTTGAGTCTTTCATTGATCTCTATTCTGTTTTTGATTCACAAAATTGTTGTCTATGTGAATTGATGCATTTTATCAGGTTGTAAATGTTACTGAAGGTTATCTCTTCAAATATTTCCTATTCTCCTATTTTCCCAGCTAGTTTGGACTTTGAATACACAATCATAAGACATTTTTATTAAATCTTACAAATCTCTAATGGCCTTTCCTGTTTTTTTTTTTCATTCTTTTTCTTATATGCATTTCAATTTAAAATATTTTCTGCTTACTTAACTTTCAGTACATTTTTTTTTTAAGATTTATTTATTTATGCATACAGAACTGGGATACAGGCCAGAGGTACAGGGGCAGTGAGAGGATTCACCAGAGAGAGAGTGGGGAGCAGAACAGGCAGATTGATGAAATAAACTAAGGGGAGCAGCAGGCAAGACAGGAGAGGTCTGCTGTGCCATGTGGGTCACCTCCAAGGCAGGGATTGAACTCTCCCTGAAGTGGCTGCTGCTAGCTTGCAGTGCAGTGCTTTAGCCCTTGCACCACAAGGGAAGGCCCTCAGTACATTATTTTAGATTTCTCCTGTATTTAATTTTATTTGGAATTTATATGGTGAATTTTCTTTGGATTTTTTTTTAATTGTAGAATTTTTATTTAGTTTATGTTGCAATTTTCTTTGGGAATTCTCTATATTTTTACCTATTTATTACACTTTTTCTTCCTTTTTAAAGATACTAATAATTATAAATATAAATTAAATGTATTTACTTTCATATGTTGGCTACTGCCTGCTTATATTTTAGCTATATTTTTCTCTTATATTTTGAAAATACATTTCTATATTTTGCCATTTCTAGTGATTTTCTATTAAATTATATACAGAATCCAAATTATATTACTTTGCCCAAAAGGAGGTTCGCCCATCTAACTCTAGATTAGTATAGTGAATGTTCTTAACTTTGACTCAGCTGTGGGAAAATTTGCCCTCTAGAGGACATTGGGTAAAACATAAACATTCTTTTGGTTGTGACCAAGACATTTTTGGAAAGACCAAGAATGCTGCTAAGCAATCTGTAGTGCATAGAATAACCCCCCAAAACTAAGAGATGCCTGACACCAAATATTAATGATGCCAAAACCAAGCATTATCTCAACAGAGATAGTTTTTATCTCTGTTGGAGATAAATAAATCCAGTGTTAGATTTAAACTGATTTGCAGTCTTCAGCTATCAGTATCTTTCAGTTCATCCATGGTAAAAATTGAACTCTAAAGTTCTCAAGACCTTTGATTAGTTATTTATATTTAAATTCATAAATGATGGAAGTGGACATTGAAGCAAACAGGATGCAAGGCTCCCGTTTTGTGTAGAGATAGTTGGTAGTACTAGAATAGTTGGAGTGTTTTCCTGATTACAGGTCATGTTTCAAGTACTGTGAATCTGGAACCAGCAATTACCAAAAGAGTCCCACATCTCCCAGAATCAAATTGTTGAATCCTTGCGTAGACTGACTTGTTGACAATATTTTTGGATTTATTACTAATTGCAAAGTTAAATGCTACTCTTAACAGCCATTTTTGTAGTCACAAAACATAAAAAAGTCACAAAAAAATAAATGCATTCAGTGCTTTAGACGACCTCCGTTCTCCCCCGTTAAAATAATAAGCAGTGGTTTAGTTGTCTGTAACTGACAACCAAATGCCTGTCATCATTGCATTTATGATGAAAAGATTTTTGAGTAAACATAAATTCTCCAAAATTTTAAACTATTAGTAAAAACAAAAATCCCACAAGACTTTAAAATGTAAAGTTTTATGGTTCTATGCAGTTTCCCACCGAATATAATAGCTTTTTTTCTTCCCTCTACCTTGTTAGAAAAAAAATTTTAAGTGTCCTTAAAATATCAAAAGCATAATACTTTCTATTTAATGATATTTGAGTAAGCATAGCCCTTTATTTGGAATCCTACTTCCACTAAGTTCTCCAAAGACATTCTCATTAACTTTGCTGCAGCTATTCTGTTCTCTTTTATCACCTTCAAATGTACCAAGCTCCTAAGATACATATGTCCTTGTATAGTATCCTCTCTGCTTGAATTTTCTGTCCTCAGGTAACTGCATGGTTGATTGATTTATGTAATCTGGGTAAATCCACTTCTCCAGTCAAGCTCTACCATATATATATATATATATATATATAACTGCAATGTAT